TCTATGTAACAACATTCCCTCTTGTCTCTAAATAATTTTAAGACTCTTCTGTGGGGAACCAAAATAGAATTGAAAATCCAAGTATGTTACCACAGCTGAACTAATTTCATCCACATTCTCAGTGACTCCTGAGAACTAAAACTATGCGAGCGTGATTCTTAACAAAACCATAATGTGAATTATGTAATGTACTGAGAAATGGGAGGCATTTCAAAATCATAAAGATGATTTAGGAATAAAGCCTGCAAAGTTATTTTGGTATCTAATTCATATTGATTTTATTTTGCATTCGAGTCTAAATTTATTGTGGTTTTCTAATTTTGTGCTTATGAATGCCAAAAAGGAAAATTTCCCTGATGTTCTTTAATCTATACCTAAAATTAATCTCCTATGTCCTTGAAATTTAATTAAACCAGATAGTCCTTTAAATCGTTTGCCCACCATATGTTGGGTAAGAAGTAGCAAAATTAAATGAATAAATCACATCAGAGAGTAAATTAAATACAGTAGTTGAAGCCAGCCTCTTTCTCATTTTACATGTTGTTGAAAGAGTCAATGCTGACTAAAAACACTTTAAAACAAATGTTCTGGACAGAATGCATAGTATGGTAAGCTATGCATGCAAGAAGAGGTAAGAGTTATCTATTTTTTTCCCCATTTCTGGTTGCAGTAGTATGAAGTTGATTGTATTAGTTACATTCTAGACCTGATGGAGTAGAAACAAAAACTTTACAAAGATGGAAATTTAAGAAAGAATACACAGGATACTGTGACAAGAATATTAACTCTCTATTTACTCCTGGGCTATTAAATAAAATTAATAATCAGAAAAAAAAATCACTTCTTTGTTGATGAAAATTCTTTAAAGCCAACACCTAAGAATGTTCTGTATGGCAACAGAAGATAATATATATATATATATATTTTATAAATTAGGTAGTGTTGAAAATATTTCTATAGAATTTGCCCTACATAGAGGAAATATGTTCAGTTTTCCCAGAATCATGGAATCACAGGATGATTAAGGTTTGAAGAGACCTCTAGAGGTCATCTAGTCCAACCCACCCTGCTCACGCAGGGACACCCAGAGCATGGGGCACAGGTGTCATCCAGGTGGGTTTGGAAGATCTCCAGAGAAGGAGACTCCACAACCTCCCTGGGCAGCCTGTGCCAGGGCTCTGTTACCCTCACAGGAAAGAAGTTCTTCCTCACATGGAATTTTCAAAGGCTGATTCTTCTAAAATACTCAGGTGTGTGAAAATCTGAGGGAAAAATAGCAAAATATTTTCCTATTACTACATATTTCTTTTCCATTTCTTATGCTATTCTGTGATAATTTACCGCGTCGTCATCAAGACCAGACTGAGTTATGGCTGTATATAATGCAACTTCATACTGCTTTAAGTGGTTAAAGACATTCACTTCCATGATTACTGGATAGGACAGTACCATTGGTGCCTATTGACCTCTATTTGGTCTTCGATTTTTGTTTTAAAATCTGTAAAGCCATAAACAGCCTGTGATGTAAGAAAGTGAATACACTGAATATGATCTTGAGAATGATATGTGACTCCATCATGCCAGAGGGTAACCCAGACCAGCAGTTTACAAAGCCACCATGTTAAAGAAAGATGTTGCCATTTTGTTACAAGAAGATGTTTGGGATCGTGCTTGGGTAAAGATGCTTCCTTCCTAAGAAGGTACTTCGGATTCTCAATGTCCTATATATAAAAATGAAATATTCTCTGATAAAGAATCTAATTTTGGAATTCTGTCTCCATGACTTTGCCCAAATATGCTTTCTATGAAACAGAATTTTGGAAGACAACCTGCATTTTTATAATATARTTTTGCACTGTGGTTAAGGTGTTTTAGAAAGTGGCTCTTTAACTATGTCTATATTGCTAAAATAAATTACATTAAGGACAAGGCCTTGTTCCTAAGGCCAAGCATCACACTGGCTGTTGACACGCTGTGGCTATTGCTTAGTGATATCTGCAGTGAAGCAGACGTGTGTTGGAGAAAGGTCATCAATGAGTGACACACCACAGTGAGCTAACCCACAAGCAGCATGGAGAAGGAAGTTCTAGTGCTAGAGTTTACTCCCTGTCTCTCGTTTTTGTTTAGCAGCAGAGAGGACTCTGCAGTCTCACAGGAAAGATACTGGCCAAAACAGAAGCATGGGTGTCTGCAGGATTTCATTTTGAGTTTTCAACAATGCTGACCTATTTCAGGAAAAAAGGGCAGCACCTTGAGGTCTTTTAGGTGATGTGTGATGAAGCCAGACAGCTCAGACAAGATCAAGTCATACCAGTGAGACCATGGGTGCTGACAGTTCTTAGCAGGGAGACATGCACCAGACCACAAAGTGCCATAAAACATGCATCAGGGACAGTGACTATAGGAGATTTGCCCTGCTAAAAAACATATGGCTGTAAGGACTGAGGCCTTGCTTGCTTACATAGGCAGCTATATAGTGAGAACAGCTGCATTCTTTCAATGATTCTCTCTACTGGTAAGTCAAAAATCAAAGTCAAATCAAAATCAGAAACAAGCAGCAGAGTAGAAATACAGTGCCATTGTCTTAATTATTCAATCTTTGTAAGAAGAGATTCTTTTCTGGTAAACTTTAAAAAAAAAGCTGCAAAGTGCACATTTTTTGCAACCAGCAAACAGCTTCATGTTCTGAAAACAGGTAACAATCTGATTCAAGCATCCACTGGGAGAAGGAGATTCAAATCTCCTCAGGCAGAGAAGGAAATTGAACATATACTCATCATATCCTAGATGAACACTGCACTATTTGTGTCTTGGGTAAATTCTGTACCTACTGAAGTCCTAAATAAAAAGCTGGCATGGGGATGGCCATATTTTTCTCTCATTTTTTGAGAAAGAAATGGCAGAGCCAACTGTCTGTTATGGAAAATTCAGGGCTGTAAATCCTGCAGAGAACTAGTGGATACTTGAAGCTAAAGGTCAGGTACTTAAGACCTCAAAGAATGAGATTTAAAGACCCCTATCCTTAATCTTAGATGGCCTCCTGTGTGAGTTACAACAGTGTAAGCTCAGAAATAGGTCTGTAGCACTGAAGATGAATTGCTCAGACCTACACAACAAAGCTGTGACCCAGCAGGACACAGACATCTGGATTCTGCAAGTCCTGGGTTGAGCTCAGTATGTTTTATTTCCTCTCATAGATTGCTCTCAAGTAACAGAATATATTTTTAAAAAATGAATAAAGTGCATATGGTGACACAGCTGCTGAAAACCTGTTACCCTTTCTAATCGCCTTTCATTTTCTGGGTTTGTATTTTAGCTTTCAAATTCAGTTACAGAAAAATGTGGTAAAAAAGGCAGCTTCCTGCACTATTAGAGGGCACCGCAATGCTACGAAGTTATGCAAAAGAAGCCTACTATTCMGAACACAGGTCTCAGTAGGTTCATTTTTAAAACACTTTATATATTTATATTCACTTTGATGAGCAGAATTTTAGATTTTTCACAGAGGGAATGAAAAGAGCAAATAAATAAAATTTAAAAAAAAGGACAACATATTTCCTTCTCTTAATGATGGTGAGCTTTTGAGATGAAAGGGATGTAAATCCTGGATAACTACTCAAACAGCCTTTCAGTAGTGCAATTATCCACCTGCTCATGGGTACACCACGGAATATTCTTCATGCTGAAGTGATCGAAGCTTAAGAACTCTATTTATTGCCTATCCTCCTTTCATGCACATTCAATGCCATCTCAGAATGATCGTTTCTTATTTGGTAACCTTGGGTCATTCTATTACTTATTCACATTTGTATGTCAGCTTCAAGGAGCCAGGTGGTATACTCGATTCCCATGTTAGAGCTAAAGAGAGAGAGAAAAATGTAATTATTGAAAGAAGTGCTCCTGTCAGAGAGCAGTGATTTACATCCTGGATTGATGTAAATTATCCTCTTCTCCTCCCTTCTGCCAAACCCTGAGGTCAGCAAATGTGGACTTTTTAATATCTTGCCTATCTAATATGTTTTTTTTTTTTCTTGCAGTCTGTGATTCTGTTAGGATCAGAAGACTAGGGTAGTGAGAGATGTGAAGGAGTAATTCCCATGAGTGAATGGGCTCATTGTCAGCCCAAGGAGAGGTCATTTAAAGCCAATGCTGAAATATTTGTGAGTCGAAGAGAGACTCTTTAACTAGGACAAAAATAAGAATGGAGTTGCTTGTTTGCTGGTTCTGCATCCTTCATGGAAGGCCACCAGTAACTATAACTCATACATTATTGTGCTACCAGACAGGAGAAATGTCTGTGATAATTTACCAGGACAGTCAAAGGCACTTTATCACGCAGTTACCATGACGATAAAGTTCAGTGGTAGTTTACTCACTTTTCCAAAAACAAGTATTTCCCATTCCCATTATTAGCATTCTTGCTAATAAGTACTCAAGTGCTTTGAAGCAGTTCTCCTCAGAGCTCTCCTGTGAGTGAGGAGAGGCGATCTATCCTTGTTTCACAGCTCAGGCGCCGATGTGCAGGGGCCATGACTACGCGGAGCATTTGATAAACATGTGCTTGGAGTCCATGGTCCCTGGGCATTCAAGTCAGCTTGGCCAGAGTACACTCCACAGCCAACATGAMAAAATTTCCTTTCCTGAGGAAGCGGGATGAAAGCGATGAGGTGAAGTGTGCACAGTGATGTCTCTACCCTATGGAGTTGGGATACAGCCTGGTTAAGGCTCAGATCCACGAACAGTAGTACTCACCTAATTTCCATGCATTTTTGTGGGACTTTTAATTTTCTCTAAGGTGTAGCTCAGTTTAGCACTGAGTTTCTATTGTTGCTGTCACTGTGGCTACAATGGTGAAGCCTATCTTTGAGGTATGGGTTTTGTTTCACAACTTCATCAGCTAATTTGCTAGGTGCTTTGGAGATGTAGACTCCAATTACTCAAGTAGAAAATGTACTGTCTAGACAGGTCGTTGTGTCTTATATGTCTTCTTTATCTTCCAGGAAGATGAAGTTGCTCGTGACAGCCGATTCAATTTCAGTGGCTATGGAATGGGTCACTGTCTCCAAGTCAAAGACGGCACAGCAGTCAAGGCTACTCCACCCAACCCACCTATGGCACCACCAAAGGATTCAGAGTCCATCAAAAAGAAGTTTGTTGACCGTGCAAAAAGGATTGATACAATATCCCGTGCTGCGTTCCCACTCGCCTTCCTCATTTTCAACATCTTTTACTGGATTACATATAAAATTATAAGGCATGAGGACATTCACAAGAAATAGGCAACTCTCATTTGCCAGGACTTCTTAGCCAAAGTGATGATACACATGTAAATAAACAGTGAAATGTCTTTCTGTCATTTGGACTAAGGGTTTCTTTTTCCCCCCCAGGACACTGAAGAGAAAAAGAACAAAAAGAAAAAAAAAGTATAGAAAGAAAAGTGATTGCATGAAACAATATGCCATGATACCAGTCAATAAGGGTTCACTATATGTACTTTCAGTGTTTTTCTTCCAGATTCAGCATTGATCACATATCTGTAAATGGGGCCAAATTTTATCTTAAAAAAAAAAATCAGAAAAGAAGCTATTCTCCTAAAACATCTACCAAGAGACTGTGGTGGCTACAGTACAGTGAGTTATAAAAGGACCAAACTTTTCAGGATAATGTTGCCTTTCTATTTGAAACAAGTCTACTGAGCTACATTCCATGACCATGTCTGTAGTTAGTGGTTTCACCAAGGAGTCCTTTTGTGAGTTGTAAGTTATTTCTACTGACATGGAAGAGAGAGAAAAAAAATTTATACTTTACTATCCTTGTGAGTGTGCATTTTAATATTATCTTGCTTTACTAGAGTTGTAATTTTGGGATTGAAGTTGTGTGTTGTGTGATTTATTTGATAGCTGACACTCCAAAACCAGTGAAACTGCCCGTTTTATTTTTGTTGGAAGACAGTGCACTTATTTCATTTTATTTCTGCTGATTTTACATGCAACTTGAGGTGCCAAACTGTATTTTACCTATTGTGCTACCCTGTACCACACTTCTTAGTAAAAACTTGTTTCCTCAAAGGTGTAGCTCAGTTTAGCGTTGAGTTTCTATTACTGCTCTCATTGTAGCTGCAATCAATAGCTCTATAGGTAAACACAACTTGTTTACAGACCTCTAATTTATATCTTTACTCAAAGTGGCTATCCATTTTAAATATCATTAATTTACCTAAGAATTTTAAAACTGTACTGTGATTTTCAGAACCTGTTACCTTTTGGTGCCGGATCTGCGTTATTCAAAATCTTGCTACATGTTTTAAAGTAGAAAATTTAAAAAAAAAGAAAAAAGATGGTATTTTTGCTTACACAGAAGAAGACAACCTGTAACATAAAATGAATCAAACGTTAAAATTTTACACTTGCTGTAAAAGGATTTACTAAAAAGAAAAAAAGTATTTGTTCAATTTCAATAAAGCTAAATGTGCTACTAATTTTTTTTTTATTATTCTTTTCTTCATACGCAGCAGGGTGGTTTGTTCCATGACCCAGCTCATCCACTGTTCTGTCAGCAGAAAGAGACTGAAAAGCATCCCTCTGCTGATCTGTTTAGCAAGCCAAATTTTACTGTCTGTTCTGCAGCATAGGGTGTWTTGTAGATTTTAGGATTATATTGAGTGTATCTCAAAAATGTGGCTAGGATTTGGTGTGATAYGAAGCTCTCCAGAGTTGAACCAAACCCACACAGCTTGTCTGCAGCTGCAGAAGTCAGGTCTGTGGCATGAGGGTTGGGGCATGAGGGATGCTACCTGCTGCTCCCCAGATCTGGGCCCAGAGAGGAGTTCCTGTCACCTTCGCACATGCTGCTCCCTGCTCCAAGCAGTCATCCTCTGCTTCTTTAGGCTTTCCTACAGCTTTGCATCTCCTGTGAGCTGAAGAGCAAGCTCGGGTGGCCTATGGTGAGGCCAGTACGATGCCAGAACTGCTTCTCTTTACTGATGATCCAGGGTACTGTGCCCCACATGGACAAAAYGGTGCAGAAAAAAAAACAAGTTAGCTTGCATACTATTTAGTCCCCTTCCCTTGAGAGGCCAAAATAYGCACAAAGTACAGCCTATAGCTACAAAAGATGGACTTTTGTTCTTCTGCTCTTAGTGAAATTTGGTATAGGGACCTTCAGCCTTTAACTACCGTGCTGCATTATTTCCTCAGAATCAGGAAAGGAATTTAGCAAGGCTGTTTTTTGGGGAGCAAAGCTAAAGATTTAGCAAGTCTTTTTTTTCCAAAACAATTAYGTAAATCAATGGTAGAAATACTGTTGTGTGTTTTTTTCTCCCCTTAGCCTCCTTACTTTCATAGCCTCTCCTGTCAGCCACACATGTGGCTGAATGGGTAATAGCCATTTTTCACTTTTTTAAGACCACGGATCCCGATGTGGGTGATAATCTTAGAYGAATGAACCTAGAATTAGTGTGACAGTTCAGGAAAACCCACTCACTTTATTTTGCTTGTCATAGTAAGTTTTTGAGGTAAATTTAAATATTCTAATAGTTGTAATTTTGATAGTGTAATTGCTTTTAGTCCTTTTCACTGTAGGACTGAATCTGATTAATGGATAATTCAGCTGAAGAAAACCCCAGGGCAATCCTAGTGCCATGGGCTCTAGCAAGAGCATCATCTCTGTTCAGGAAGTAAGGAGTCTTCACCTGAGCAGAAAGGTCAGAGCTCACTTTTATTAGCAGTGTTTTAAACTTTAAGGTATAACACCAGTATTAATATTAATCCTCATTGCTCAAAGATCTTGCTAATGGATGTCAGACCCTACTGCTTATAGCTCCCCCATATGACTACAGCCCACTGCAGCAGAGTCACAAAACTGTTCTCACCTGTTGGATGTTTGCAGCTTCCTTTTTGAAGTGAATCTCATGCGCTTCCAGCATCCACCTCACAAACTCATTTGCATGCATTAGTTTTAGCTAAACTATTTAGTTTGTAAAACTATATTGTGCTGATGAGGTTTGAAGCATTCTGGCAGTAAGCATGAGAAGAATGCTCTGCTGCTGCTGCCTTACATACAAAATCAGGTCCAATCTTGGGAGTTCTCTGTGCACAAAACTCCCACTGGGATCTTTCTTTTTGATGACAGTGAGAACTTTTAACAAAATAGAATTAATTGTGAATTTTGAAATTATCTGACTAAATTTGGGACATAAATCATGTATTTTAACTGGACAAAGACAGTAGGCACAACAATTAGCGGTGACCACCCAATACAGACAAATTCATAGCATCCTTGCTCATATCCCTATAAACCAGCTCGTGCAGAGATGGAAACCAAGCTGGCATTGACTGCTTTCTTCAAAGGACACAGATGACAATGGTGAGATGTAATCTGGACTGATAAATGAAAGCAATGGGGTTTGCAAATGACAAGTCAAATAACAAAAGTGTTGGGATTTATAGGAGATCAAGGACACAACTTCCCTAAATGAATGTTAAGAGGGTTATCAGGGAAACAGGACACAAAACCCAGTCACCCCTGTACTCAGAAATGTGGTGGAACTAAATAGTGAAGCAGCTTCTTTTCAAGTACTGTAAGAGGGAAAAAAAGACTTAGAGAATAAGTACCAAACAAATACCCTTCACAGAGTAGGAGATCCAGAGGATGGAAGGAAAGAGATTTTATTCATTCTGAAGAGCTTCTGTATGTTTTAGAAAGAGTGTAGGTTACAATCCTRGCTCATAAGAAAGAAAATGAATCCCTCAAGCATTTAAGCTACTTCSATTTATTGATAAAACAATTATAATGACTTCAAATTTATCAGGAATTTAAAAGGCTTTATACTTTAAAGAAGCTGACATCAGGTCATGTCTTTGGCATCTTCTTGTTACAAGCTGGGCCTAAGTGGTTCAGTACCTGAGGAGAAAACTTTAATCATCTTTCACTGGATAATGATAAAGCCAAATCAATAAAATGACCTTTAAGAAAAATCTGGTTGCAATAGGAGGAAAGTGACAAAAATGTGCAAGGACTACAAGATGAGAGATCTCTTTGCCCGATTTTTTTTTCTTTTCCTTCATATTTGTTCAAGCTGCAGAGCATCACTTACATGCTGAAACACAGCTGACAGATGTAGCAATAGGAGAGTAAGTGGATTTTGGAGTCTCAGTCATGAATTACTGGCAATTCCTAACACTGACTGGGGTTATTGCTAGAAATATATGATGCCTCTGGGGTCAGATTTTTTCCCATGTTATAGAAATGAGGAGTAAGAGCCAACTCTGCTCCTCCAAGGGTGCTATAACTTTCTCATTCTCCCTCATTTCTTTCCCAGCAAGAGTTTATTTATTTTCGAATATCTTTAGATTTGTCATTGACATTGGTGGCACAGGTGTTGCTAACCAAAGGTAAAGCAACAAACGAAATTTATGTCTTTTGTATCATAGTTGAAAATAGAAAGATTGAGATGGATCACATAGCTGTAAGAGCTATGCTACATTTAGTCCACAGTAGTGCAGCCAGGTCATACTGGGACCAGTAATATTCTCAGCCCAGACCGAAAAATTCTACAATCTCTTGGTTCCGACATCCTGAGCTCTGCTGCCTGAAGGATGCTACGCAGAGTATATACCATGGTCATAACAGGCTGGGGGAAGGGACTAACCATGTGGGAACCTTGCAAAGCAGAAATAACACCACACGACTTTCATGGAATCACAGAATCAAAGAATGGTTGAAGTTGGAAGGGACCTCTATAGATCATCTAGTCAAACCCCCCTGCTCCAGCAGGGACACCCAGARCAYGKGGCACAGGGCTGCATCCAGGCAGGTTTGGAAGACCTCCAGAGAAGGAGACTCCACAGCCTCCCTGGGCAGCCTGTGCCAGGGCTCTGTCACCTCCATAGTAAAGTTCTTCCTCATACTTCCTCTGTTTCAATWTATACCCATTAATCCCTTGTCCTGACAACTGGTCAGCACCAAGGAGAGTTTGGCCCCATCCTCTTTACATTCTTCCCTGAGGTACTGAAAGCATTGTGAGGGCATTTGAAAGTGATTTTGAGAGTGCAGGAAAGAACTAGAAAGGACTCTCGGCTGAACTGGTGTCTTTGGCTCAATAACAGGGCTCTAGATCAGCCAGAGGACACATTTCATGGATATATTCAAAAAATCTGACCCACTGCAGTATTGACTTTTCTATATTTAGAAATAAATTTAATGTATGGGCATAAAGCATATATGCACAGCTTTCTACTCCTTATTCCTTTAGAATTAAAATGTGTCATGGAAAAAAGGAATAGAAGATCCAGGATGGGATTTGCATTACACAAATTTACATGACAAATAATTTCAATGAATCTATTCATTTTCATTATCTATAATATGGTATCCCTGGGRAAAAAAAAAAGGCAAAAAAGAACAGAAACAGTTTTCTTTCAGAATTTCAAAAAGTTCTTTATTCTAATGCTTTTCAGTGTAAATAAATCTTATCTTAATAGATTTTAGAAAAAAAAAAAAAGTCTGTTCAGAGCAATTCCTGACGAGGAGAATAACCTCAGCAAAGACACACTTTCTTCCATTAATGTCCCTTGCAGATTTCATTAAAAAAAAAAATCTCTGGTTTGTCAGAAAGAGAAAAAAAAAGAAGATATTAATGGCTTTTGAAGATACTTCTCCATGGAAAATGTGAAATGTCATCATATTTAGAACTGAGCCACAGAACAAGAGCAGTCTCACCAGTTCCAGACAAACCTTCGTCTAGCCAACTTACTTCTAATTCCAATCCAGTGCTCACTGAAATCACAAGGAGAAACAAGTGCTTCATTGACTTCAATAGCTTTTAGATCAGTCCCTAATGAAGGATACGTTTCAAATGCTAAGCAAAAGAAATAATCTAGGAAGGAAAACATACAGAGTGGATTATTTCTCTGGAGTATCCTCTAAGGAGGAGTAGAAATTGGAGTCAAAATAAGCATCTCAGATAATTAGGAAAACTGACTTTGTGAAATGCATACATTCAGTTCTTTAAGTTCCACTGAAACAAACATGCTAAATTAATATCTTTGCAATGGAGAAAGCCTGTGAGGCAATACTAATGAAAAAGCAGTGAATTCTGGGAATCCTGACAACACTTATCTTATGCTATAGACTATGTTTTTCCTGGGACAAATTATATAAAATGCTCTATAGTCTTCTGAGCAGCTGTATAACTGATTCCAAAAATAGCTTTTCCTGCTTGCTAGAAGATCTGAATCTGACTTTCAGCAAAGTGGATTTCTATTGCTGGGGACAGCAGATAGTGGGTGTCATACTAGGG